TCTCACTCGCTCAATTTTAAAGAGCACAGAACAATTCTGGGAAAGAAGACCAAGTTTTCATAGATCTTTTCTCCTCCCAACAGACCCTGGAACCTTGTTAGGTACTGGCTCTCCACCTCAGATACTGGTGTCCTGCACACCTCCTCACAGGCTGTTCTCCAGAACATTATATTTACAACTCAACCCAGCTCTGGACAATTCCCCAGCCGTACAAGCTGGCTCAAAAGTCCTCTTGTTTAGTTAAAATTCCAAAGAAAATCTATCTTCAATTTCTAATCACATTATAAACCTGCTCTGCAAGTACTGAAAAAAAGAAGTAATCTCTGTGCTAAATGGGGCAAAAAGATTCTGTCATTTATATCAAAGATGCCAGTATGTTCGAACAGTCAACATGCAGGGCCTCTCTGACTCTTCACCTGTCTTAGTATATCAAACCCACTCTGGGCAACCTTTTCTTCAAACAGCATCAGCAAGGGACATTCCCAGTGCTCAGTTCTTTAGGTAGGTTTCAGGTTTTCCATGCTTGGGATGTTGGGATAGGAGATCCTGCCTACACATATACCATTAAAATACTATCGCTTTTAATGTGATATCTTGATATTCCAGAGAATCAAAAGGTCACCTTCATATAAATTTAACTTATTAAGATATCTTCCCATATGCTAGTGTTTCAGAGCAATTTTATTAAATATGAGAAACAATTTCGGGGGCTGGGGACTTAGCTCAGCAGCATAAGTGCCTGCCTTGCAAGCAGGCAGTCATGAGTTCGATCCCCGGTACCGATAAAAAGGAAAAAGACAAAAAAAAAAAAAAGAAAGAAAACCAATTTCAGCAATGAGCAGAACTAAATAAAGATATATTTCCCATGAGCTCCTGACCTCTCTACATCCATCAGATATTTTCAACTGAACCTAAGTTAACCTGTAAATGAGCTAATTTTATCTGTAAATCCATAGAAATGTACCAATGTTCAGTTTTTAACACACTCAGTTTTAATTTCCCAATCTCATACAGATTGCAGATATTTCCTTAGCAAGTTAACATGCCATAAAAAAAAAACAATCTTTGATATGTTTATTTTTCTTAGGGAGAAAACCAACACAGCACTGGTTACAAAGGTAACACAAACACTTAAGTTTGAAGCCAGGCATAGTGATGTACATCTGTACCACCAGTCTGGGTTACATAGTGAGCTCAAGGCCAGTCTGAACTACATAGTCTGCCTACAATCCAAATTTTTCTTTAGGTCTCTAACTGAAACCACTGCCTAGGGCACACTACAAATAATCCAGTTGGGTTTATGAGGTTTGTTTTGTCTTTTTAACATATGGTTCCACTATGCAGTTCAGGCCGGCCTCAAACTAGCAGTACTCCCCCTGCCACCGTGTCCAGAACCCTAGGACTACACTATCCTGAAGTATCGCTCTGTTCTGTTTCTCAGTTTGCTATTAGATCACCATCCACCCAGTTATCCAAGTTGTTAACTCAAATTCTCCCTTCTTTCTTTCATCATACCCACTTTCACAATTTCAATAAACAAGGTCCCTGGTTCTCATTTCAAAGTCTATGATGTGCGCTAATTTCTTTTCCAGTATTCTATGCTTCTGTTCTAGACTCTTTGTTCCCACCTAAATAACTTTGAATCCCCCTATTACAATGATAATGGCAAGCATTTACTGATCTCTTACCATATGGCAGGCACTGGGCTAAGACCTTTACATACACACCATTTTTAATACCTTAAAACAGGTAACTGTGCTCCTGACCTACAGAAGACAAGAAACTTGCACCAGCCACACAGCTGGCAAGTAATAAAACAAAAGCTCTAGTTCAGGCCCCTGAAATTCTTATTCTTGGCCCTTACTGGACCTCTCTGCCTTAGTCCCTTGCTGGTCAGTGTATAGACCTTTGTTTACGCTGCTGCTGGAATGCTCTTTCAAAACTCCAAGCAGCGGGACGCACTGAGCATTCTGGTGGCACCCCTGTAATGCTAGCATTTAGGGGCCTGAGGCAGGAGGACTGCCATGGGCTCAAGATCAGCCCAGGCTACATTGTAAGTTCAACATCAGTATCAACTAAAGAGCATAACTCTATTTCCAAAACAAACAAAAAAATCCTAAGTAGAAGTTTCTCTCTGCTTTCAAAGACAGCTCTTTGCTCCTTTTTATGTCTAGGGCAGCAAGGTCCAAAGGCCTCTCTCCCATCACCCGTCCCACATCACACTCCAGCTAGAAGACACTCTCAGTGCTGGCCAAACACACCAAAATGCTGGCTGGCCCACATTATTCTCCACCCTCTACAAAATACGCCCCCAACCATCCTTCTTACCCTCTAGACAGGATCCTCCTCTTTGGGCCTCATGGACACACTCGTGCTTCAGCACGGATGTAATAATTATTCCCCACCACCACTCTCCCTCACATTTCCAACCCTCAATACCTAGAAGTGGTGTCTCATCTCTGATGTTCAAGGTCCCAGCAAAGTGGTGGGTCAACAAGTAGACCAAATTAACACCTTCCAGTACCATTCCAAAAAAGCAAGTAAAAAGACATTAGTAAGGGTAGCTTATAGCAGCTCCCGTCATCACAGGCAAACTCAAGAAGACAGAACACTCAAGCAAAGTTATTATCTGAGATTGGTACTCCAGTCTGCTGCAGCTTCTGTCCAAGCCTCTTGAAAGCCAATTTAATCACCTGTACACCTGCAGAAACTACAGGACAACTACACCCTGAGATGGGAGAAGGTAACCTGACACCCTCGCACACCACCCCGTGATGTTGAGAGCCTTCCAAAATGCACACCGGTAAAAACCTTGGCTCTTAATTACCAGTGAATTACAGACGATCCCGACTGAGAATCAGCAGAGAAAAAAGCTATAGACAGCAAAATACTGCCTGGCTTTCCATTTCCACACCACAACTGGAATCCAGACCACAGATGAATGTCTGCAACTGCCTGCTCATTGTGGTCTCCCCGCTCCCACCATCTTGCCAAAGAGCAGCCAAATGAGGTTTTGAAATTCTATCAATGATTAGAACACATCCCAGTATAATACTCTGCAAAAAGCATTCCATCCACATAGAATCTGAAACTTTTTTTTTTTTTTTTTTTTTTTTAGGAGACGGGGTCTTGCTATGCAGTTCAGGTTGGCCTAGAGTTCACTTTGCAGCCCAGCTGGCCTCAAACTCATGGTGATCCTACTGTCTCATTCTCCCAATTGCTGGGATTACAGGTGTGTACTACCACGCCCAGCTACTGAAACTTTTTATGACAACAAGTGCCTGCCTGGCAAGTGCTAGGTCATGAGTTTGATCCCCGGTATAATAAAAAAAGAATGTTCAAAAAAGTCCAACCACTTCCCCCATTTCACCTACTCTCCCTTCAATCACTACATCCCAGAAAAGGAAACTCTTTCAGTTTCTTAAATCTGACCAACTTCCAGCCTTTCTCCTATGCAGTTCTTCCTGCCTGATAAGCTCCTCCCCAAATGTTTTAAGTTCCTTCTTGAAGCTCATTTCAAGCTTTACCTTTCCAAAGAGGCCTTTTCTGACTGTGATACGCAAAGAGGCATCCCTTATGTCCATTAATCACTGTCAGATCATCTTTTTGTTTGCTTAATACTTATCACCAAGGGGCCAGAGATTTAGCTTAGTGGCACAGCACCTGCCTGGTAAGCATGAGGTCCTGAGTTCAATTCCCAGTACCCAGAAAAAAAATTACACATATTAGAAGCATCTCCAAAATGAGAGGGTTTTTTTTTTCATTTTCATTTGTTTCTGTCCCGCCCCTATGAGTATAGTTGCATTAAGCACTCAGAAAGAAATTCCAGAATATCTGTTTTAACTATTAACAGAAAAGCATCCTTCAGACTGGCTATTTTTGGAACGAAGAAAACATCTATTAGTCCATACTATGAAGTAGGCACTGTAAATTCATATTCTTCCTTTCAGATGGAAAATTAACTAGCTCAAGGTCACTGAGAAGACTTCACTAAAAGACTTCTGACTAAATGCCTAAATGACTGCTAAACCCCTTTTGCCCCTCTATTGAGGGAAGGACTGTTACTCACGTTGCCATAACCTAACCAAACATTTCTAAAATGTTGCTTTATAGTTACTAAAGCATTTTCACATTCATCTCAAAAATACAAAGCACTTGCTCAAAAAGTCATACAACAGGAAGTTCCTCAAGGATCGAATCAGGAGTGGGGAATGGGGAGGAGTCCAGCCGATGGAGTTCATAGCTCCCGTTAAAGAGGAATGGGGAAACGGTGAGTCACAGGGTGAAGGCTTGCAACATGGGAATCTCTTGATAAGGCCAAGGTATGAGGCAGCAAAAAGTGAATCACAAAACTGGAAAACTCCTTACGCCTCATAAAAAGCAAATACTAGCAGATAGACGGATGAAACTTAAGCCTCAAAAGGAAAGTTACTTGCTCAAATTCACGCAGCAAGTGAACAGAGTGGGAACCAGGGGTTTCTTTTCTCCCTCTTCTCTTTCCTTCTCTATTAAGGAGGCTTTTCAAGGAGACTCCTGAGTCGGGGCGAGGAAGAGCCAGGGCAGCTCAGACTCCACAGAAACCCGGAGAAAGCGAGGGTGGGAACAGAAGGCACAAAAACGTCAAGATGAAGGGCAGAAACGAGCCTAGGACAGGACAGAAGCAGTGGCTGGGAACGTGGGTGAGGCCCAAGAGAGAAGAAAAAGGAGGAAGAGAAAAGGTACAGTGTGAGAACGAAGCAAAATGTTGTGAGATCAAGGTCTGAAGGGGCCTGGCAGAGTGGGAAGAGCTTGAGGAGCAAGAGGTGGAATGAGTTTGACAGTGGAGAGCCCAAGACACTGGGAAGACACTGACGGTGGTCACACGGGAGGGTCCTGAACTCAGAAAGGCAGGGAAAGAGTTGTCAGAGCAGACGCGGAGACTAGTCAGGCGAAGCTCGGGTCGGAGGGCGGGGAGTCTGAGGGGAGGAAGTAAGGAGCCAGACGGGGCCCAGCCGCCTCACCGCGCTTGTTTTTGGTGCCGTGCTTCTTAGCGGCCGTCAATTCCTGCTCGATCTTCTTCTCCAGAAACTCCTGTTTCTTGCTTAGCATCTCCTCCGTATCCCGCAGCCGCTGGATCGCCTCTTGGGGGGTCGGGCCGCCCTTGCCGGCCTTCCCCCCTCCAGACCCAAACATCTTCCCGAACACCGACATGGTTTCTGCTCGCCGCGCCGGCCCTCGCCGCCCGCTCTGGATCGGCTCGGCTCGGCTCCGGCGCCCGCTCCCGGACCCGCCGCTCCCTGCCGCCGCAGGCCTCTCCTCCGCCTCCGCCCCGCAGCTGGGCCAGGCCGCGCCACCTCCCACAGGCCCCCACGCCCGGCCTGGCCGGCGTCAGGGCAACGCGCCGCTGACCACAGCTCCCGGCGTGCAACGCGCCGGCAGCGTCTCGAATCTAATGGAGGGAGGCGTGCTGCATGCCGGGAGACTATAGTCTTCCGGTTTGAGGCTGTCGGCGGCGCACTTTTTTAGTCCCACTAGGGTCAAAGGACAAGATGGTATGCTGGGAAATGTAGTCTTCATAGAACGTGTTCTGTAAGAGTGAATGAATAGGAATGAAAATAACAGTGTTAAAGATAAGAGTTGAGGTTGAAAGGGATGGAGCCTGCTTGTTATCCCAAAGCTCTGGGAGGCTGAGACAGGAGGATCGAAAGTTCGAGCCCAGACAGGTGATTTGGCAAGACTTTGTCTCAAATAAAAAATAAAAAAGAGTTGGGGATTGTAGGCAGGTTCTGAGTTCAATCCAAAAAATTCTAGATATCACCAAAAAAAGAAAAATAAACTGGAGGTGTTGTTCAGTGGTATAGCCGTAAAATCAATCCCCAGCACTCAAAATAATAACAATATCATGCAGTCTGTGATCCAGATACAATATTTTGCAAAGTGCTTTACATATATTATCACATTTAATTTTTATAAACTGCCAATGACAGATAATACTCGTTCCTATTTTATAGATGAATAAACCAAGACTCAGAGAAATGGAACAACTGTCTAGTGCAGCTTACTACTGTATTCCTATCTTTGCAAAAGCTGTTCACTTTACCTGGAATGATGTCTTTCTACTGTTTACTCACTACTTGGTTTTTTTAAATCTAGATGTTAGCTGCCTTGGCCCTGAACTTTAAAATTTTCAAAGCTTCACCTCTGCCTTAACTGCCTGGAAAAGTTACTTGGTAACAAACAGGACCTCCTGGAAGCTTGTGTGAAACAGAATTAAAGTACTTATTAGCATAGACCTGGGCACACAGCAGGCAGCATAGTGTGCACTCAACACTGTATATTTTATCCCCAGATGTTCTAGATCATTATTATGGGCAGTAATATGTATTTGAACCAGGGGGAGACTAACACTTTCAAAAGTAGAAGTGTCAAAGATGTTTTATTTCCCCCACAGCTGGTTGTAGGGATTTCATTGCTTTCCCTCAATTTTGCTGACAAGACTCACTTACTTGCACTGGCAGTGTATATAGCTCTGCAATAGAGTGCTTCCCAACTTGTATGAGGTTCTGGATTTGATCCCCACCACTAACAAAACTAAAGATCATGGCAGGCATGGTGGTATACACCTGTAATCCCAGCACTTGGGAGGCTGAGGCAGAAACAGCACCACAAATATCAGGCCAGTCCGAGCTGTATAGGAAGGCCCTATCTCAACCAAACAAACATAAGAACTAGGGTCACATCCCACATCTCCAAGGATGTGTTGTTGGGCATGGTAGCCCACACCTGGAATCCAAGCACTCTAGAGGCTGAGGCAGGAGGATTGCTGCAAGTTCAAAGCCAGCCGAGGCTACATAATGAGTTCAAGGCCAGCCTAAAAGACATAGTTAAACCCTGTTCCAAAAAACTATAAATAAATAAATAATAGTGTCTAATAGCTAATACTTTCTCCAAACCCACCATTCTAATTTGATGCTTTCAGACCTTTGAAATTGTTAGAAGACACAGTAAATCAGTTGTGAATAAGTATCTGAAGTGCTGTTCAACAAAGAAATAAAAGACGTTTTTAAAGGTCTTTTAACCTGGGGATATATAGCTAAGTGGCACAGCGCCTGCCTGGCAAATGTAAGGTCGTGAGTTCAGTTCCCAGTACAGATTTTTAAAAAGTCTTTTATATTCCTTCCTGGACCTTTCAAATATGTGAAGTTGCTTGGGAACGAAGTTTTTAGTAAATGAGAAATTCTCCTCTATTACTTTACATGAGTTAAACTTGTCTCTTCCCCCAGGCTAAAGTCTATGTATAGAAAAAGAAAGAAAGAAAGAATGCTAATGAGTATGGTGATGCATACCTGTAATCCCTGCTACTTTGGATGGCAAGTTTGGGGCCAGCCTTGGCAATTGAGAGAGACCCTGTCCACCAAAAAATAAAAAAAGGACTGAGTCTGTAAGCACACAAGGCCCCAGGTTCAATCCCTAGAACACACACACACACACATATGCATGTATGCATGGATACTGCAGACAAGCTAGGTCAATAACCCATTCATATCTAAGCAATCTGACTTCTTTCCTCTTAACTACATCATGCTACTCCCAAGCACAGAGACAATAACAAAATCCTTGCTGGGTTTGAGTCATTATCTCAAAACTACGTGAACAAACAGGTACTGTAGACCTCATCACCACTAATCTCATACTACTTGGGGGTAAACAGAGTAATAACAGAGCCCCTGATGTTGTAACTTCAGGAGCCTAGAAAAACATCTTGAAGATATCATAATAAAAAACTCAAATTCAGTCATTTCATTGGTGTGGTGGTGAATGTGCATGTGGGGATACCGGTGGTTGAATCCAAGATTAAGTTTGATACTCAAAACCAAATCTGAAACTCAGCTTGGTGGCTTATGCCTGTAACTCAACACTTGGGAGACTGAGGCAGAAATATCACCATTAGTTCAAGGCCAGTCTAAGCTGCATAGTGAGTTCAAGCCCAACCTGAACTATATAGCAAGACCTTGTCTCAAAAAACAAAAACTAAATAAATAAAAAGGGCTGAGAGTGTAGCTCAGTGAAAAGAGTTCAACCTGAGTTCAACCCTCAGTACAAATAAATATTTAAGAAAATAAAATAAACTTGGTGTCACGTAATTATGCTAAATTAGCAGAGGATTTTGGTTACTTTTAGTTGTAAAAGTCAACCATAGCATAACTGATATAGTGTCCTGATGAATAAAAGACTTTTAAACTAGGAATAGGAGAGAACTGCTCAACCTGATTAAAAGGTATCTGAAAAACTCACAGAAAATTTGAAAAAAGAAAAACCCACAGATGACATCATACTTTGTTGGGACATAATTGTATGATTAGTAAAGGCAGAGTTATAGAATAACAAACTTATATAAACGTTATAGCAGGTTTAAACCAAATAGTGCCCTCTGCCTAGCTAGGCTCTTCCTGCTGTCGTGTGACCATCCTGCTGAATTCAGCCAGCCTTGACTGTCTGGGTCCAGTCACCTTTCTTCTGATAATGCACTGGGCCAATTGGATTATTCTTAACTTATGCTTAACTTATGGAGGTGAAATGCAATTGGATGCCTATGGTGCTTTGGTGTTTCACTAACATTGCAGGTCTAGGGCCAGTGGTCTGATCATGGGTTTAGAGGATAGCAGCAGGCAGTGTGACATGAAGGGGGATCTCCTTTGAGGGTTGCAGCCATTGTTGATTCCCTATGGTCCTGTTTTGGAAGTCCTATATTGTTTCCATTGTTTTGTTGTTTATTCTCTTTTGTTTTGTTTGATTATGTCAAATATGATGGCAGGAGCAGCTGTTTCAAAGATAGCAACATATATTATGGTAGCAATTTTGGATTTACTATAGGCTTGTTTTGAAGTCCTTTATTGCATTAAATGTTTTGTTTTATTGTTTCTATTCTATTCTGTTCTGTTTGATTTTCATCATATCTGAAGTTATCTGCAGCTATTTTGAGGACCTCAAAAGGCATTATGGTAACTATTGTTGATTTCATAATGTTTTGAAGTCCCATATCTTTTACACTGGTTTGTTTTGATTGGTTTTATTCACTTTTATTCTCTTTAAAATAAAAATAAAAAAGATACTTTTTAACTCTGCTTGCTCCACTTGAACTCTCTCTCCTCCTCTCCAGGATATTCTCTATGTTAAGATAAACAATTCCAGGGCTGGGGATTTAGCTCAGTGGCATAAGCGCCTGCCTTGCAAGCAGACATTCATGAGTTTGATCCCTGGTACTGATAAAAAAAAAGATAAACAATTCCTTTTAAGTGCATGTATTTAGAGTAGTTTATCTGACAATATATGACTTAATTCAATCCATGTAATTGATCATGTAATTCCTTATATTGCCTGCTTGCAGACCATATTTAAACTGAACCCCAAAACTGCCTCAGTGCTGATGATTTGGAACTGAGATTCCCATCACCCCACTAGCATAATATATAGTTGCCTTCTAGATTCCTCAGGGCAAAGAATCTTTCATTTGATTTGACATTGATTTCTCTGTGACAACTTAAGAGTGAAAGACTGTACCATAAGAAGGTAGGTTCTTGAAATAGCTATAAAAAACCAACTACACGTGGAGAACATTGCTAAGGAAAGGAATCTCCTTTTCTACTTGAGAGAGGCCTAAATGCTAGTGGTAGAGCTATATGTCATGGGAGATTGGTGGACATCAATATAGAAGACCAACCACAAGAATAAAGGGAAGGTGGAGAATGGCAAGATGCAGAGGCAAGTGCAGCCCCCAGCCCACCCAGGACAGGCCTGGAACTCAACAAGATGGATGAACTTGGAAGTCAAACACTGCGACTTTCTGAAATGATAAAAACAGAAGTGAAAAAGCAAGTAGAAAAGGCTGTAAAGAAAATGATCTTGGGACCAGGGGTTTAGCTCAGAGGCACAAGCACCTGACTGGCAGGTGTGAGGTCATGAGTTCAATCCCAAGTACAAAAAGAAAGAAAGAAAGAAAGAAAGAAAGAAAGAAAGAAAGAAAGAAAGAAAGAAAGAAAGAAAATGATTTCTTGGGTACAAAAAGAAGTGATGCTTAAAATCAAACTACTAGTGAAGGCACAAATAAAAGAAAATATGAGCTTAGAAAAAAATGGAAACAAAAAATGTCCAACATAGGAGAGAAATCCTATGAATCCATGAAACAGGTCCAAAAAGAGATCCAAGAGATTAAAACCTCCATTGAAAATATATGCAACAGATTGAATGAAGGAAACGATAGAATTTCAGATCTTTGAAGCCAGAATTGCAGCTAGTGATTGTGAAAAGAAAGATAGCTTAAAAATAGCAGGAGACCATGAAAAATCAATCCAACAGATACAAGACAAAGCAGAGAAGATTA